TGCCTTCCAAGTGCTGGGATTAAAGGTGTGCGCCACCATGCCCGGCCAAGACCAGCTAGTCTTAACCTCCGGACCATCCGTCCTGCCCCTCTTTATTTTACAAAACTTTGTGTGTGTACCTATTTATATGTGTACATGCATGTGGGAGCCCTTGGAGTCCAGAAGAGGGTATCAGATCCCTTGAAGCTGGAGTTACAGGTAGTTGTGAGCTACCCAATATGGGTGCTGGGAATTGAACTCAGGTCCTCTGCAAGAGCAGCAAGTGCTCTTAACTGCTGAGCCATCTCTCCAGCCCCACAATAGAAAGTTTTTAAAGGAAAAACATTCTCAATATTTGTCCTTAGTTTTTACTTACAATGCCAGTTTGACTGAGAGATGACCACTGCATACAGACAACTGCCTTTGGAGTCTATGCAAATGCTAAGTTTAAAATAGAGTTTAGGAAATTTGATTTGAGTTAAAGACTACTTAAAAATCATAGTAACTTCTTAGTTTTCTTTCATACCTCTTGATATGGGGTTTAATTATTTCCAAAGGTAATTTTTAAGTTATACTGATTTTTAAGTTATAGTCACAAGGTTTCTAGGTGTGTGGGGTTGGGAGAGGAACAGGTGCTGCAATAAAGAGGACACAGCACATAGTCCAGGAATGTCCAGTCTTGGCTAGCCTAGGAAGGGAGGAGGGTGTGTGTGTGTGTGTGTGTGTAGGGGGGTGGGGCAGGGGAATGTGGAAACTAGGCTTCAGACATAGGCAATGGGAGATCCCCATTGTGTACCATTTTGAAACTTACCTGTTCTGTGAAGGTACCCATGTGCATGTTCTTAGAATGACTGGCAGCAAACTGGGTATACAGACTTTGATCAGACATACTGAATTTTTACTGACACCAGAGGGAAGCACACATAGCCAGTAAACATGCTTTGTAGCTTGCTAGTGGAAGATAGACTGGGCTACTACCAGGTTTGAGTCATAAGCAGGAATAGGGAATATCTGTCTAGCATTTTCTGGGCTGATGGTGTATTTATCCTCATAGGTGATACTCTCTGGAATCATCGGATTGACAACTTGGAGAAGGCCTATGATACTCCTGGTATGTATGGATCCCATGACTTGATACTGTTCACAAAATGTGCTGTATAGGAAGTCTGTTCAAGTAAACTGTTGAGGAAATTCTTAAGCATGTGTGTTCAATAAAAATGAGTTAACTACTGGGCATGGTGGCGCACACCTTTAGTCCCAGCACTTGGGAGGCAGAGGCAAGTGAATCTTTGTGAGTTCGAGGCCAGCCTGGTCTACATAGTGAGTTTCAGGCCAGCTGGGGCTACAGGGAGACCCTGTCTCAAAAAGATCCCCCCCTCCAAGAAAAAGTTAACAATGGATAGTGTTAGAAATGAAATGCTGCAATAATAATAGTAATGAAGGGGGATCCTTGCTGCTTTGCTGATTCATTTTAAGCTTTGTTCACATCCGCTGCTGAACATATGTTTCTGGTTCCAGAACTAAATTCATTCTGAAAATACAGTTAAAATAATCTGTTTAGGGCCAAGGAGATAGCCTAGTGGGCAAAGGTACTTGCTGTGCAAACCAGAAGACCTGAGCTTGAATCCCCAGCACTCACCCAATCAGCTAGTCACTGGGCACATTTCTGTAATCCCAGCTTTGGAGGGTGGAGACTGGTGGCTCTCAGGAGTTAGCTGGCCAACTGGCTTAGCAGAAACAGGAAGCTTCAGGTTCAGTGAGAGACCCTGTCTCAAAATAGAAGGTGGAGAGTGATGGAGGAAGACGCCTGATGCCCTATTCTGGTCTTCACATGCATGTCTACAGGGACATGAATGTAAACACATGTACATACCCCCAACCCCCAAACAAATGCAAAGGTGGAGGCAACAAAATAACAAAGTCATTGGCCTGTGTCCAGCTTCAACAATATTTACTTATAGCTGATGGTGTTTAGCTACACTCCCAACTCCACACCCT